AAAGTGAAGAAAATAATATATTGTGAGGAAACTTCCAACTTGAGAAAAGCATTTCCTAAAGATATGGCAGCATTACATAAATGAAGGGTATTAGCAAAAGTTAACTCACAAGGGTCTGCGCGCGCCTTGCTGGGGAGGCTGTGCCGGGCTGCTCAGCGTCGCCTCCTTGGGTTTTGGCGGAGGCCTTGGCTGCCTTGGAAGGCCGCAGCTTGCAAGGATTCTCTGAAGGGTTACTGTCAGGGTTACTAGAAGGCTTTAGGCTTTAGGGTTTAGGGTGCTATAAGTGCTATGTCTCTGGAGGGTCGAAACCACCAAGACAAAAACTGCACTGAAGCTTTGCAGCATCGTCACCATACTACTCCTTATGAACATCACTGCCAGTATCATGCTCAAAAGGACCCTTACTCTCGTCAGCAAGCTCTCATCCTTCTCATCACCACCATGAATCATGGTCCGTATGAACATTATCGACATCATCATGACGAACACCACTAACATCATTGCCACAGTCCTCCGAACTTTGACATTGACATTCTCATACCTGTCACATTCATCACCATCCTGTTCGCACGGTGCTCATGCTGTAGCTTAGTTTTTAAGACTCAGGATCGTGCGGTTCGTATTGCGACTGCTGGTGCTGCTGGCGTCGTTGGTTCCTACGGTGATTCGCATAGTCAAAGACTTTCGGAAGAGTGCGAGAAAGCGCAGAACCCGTAACCGCCTTCAAGGCCTTGACCAAGCCAACAACAGTCGTCCGTAGCACATCCCATACCAAAGAACCCTCAGACAGCCCAATGCCATTGCAGTAAGGAATCTACCTTGAACCATAAAACTAAGGCCCCCGATACTTTTAAGGTAGATGCTTTAATTGAGGGGTACTCTCCCGAGTCCAAACCCTAAAGCGTAAGACCTTCAACTCCAGGTCCTTAGCCCGGCACTCAAGCGAGGGGGGCGGCTGTAGAATCTGCTGGGACCTTGGCGCAGGGACCTGGCACCAGGCGAGATTCTCCAGGTTTTGGGAGTTTCAGGCGTCGGGGTTTTGCTTTTTGGGGTTTCGGGGTTTCGTGATTTGCCCTCACCACTGTCCGATGTTCGTGTATGATAGGAAGCACTTGCAAAGCACTTCCAAGCTACACCATTTCACATTGAGGCTGTTTCATATTTTACGTATGTGGTTGCCACAGCTCATGTCAGAAGTGTTCCGCTTGTGCTTGAAGCCAAGTCACCACTCATTGGTACCCTCAGACCTATCAACGGTACTACGTTGCTGGGACAGAACTTCCATTTTATATCGTTTCAGATATTCAAGGCAACAAGCAAGAATTTCAAGCATTGCGCATTTTCTCGTGGACTCGTCACCTGAATGGTACCATTTCTCTGTCTTCAAGACTTGAAGCTGGCACGGTGGGACCGTGCTACAAGGTTGGTCGCCGAGAATGACACATTAAAGCGCACTGCTGCAACCACACTCACTTGCGCAAAACGCAACAACTCCCATGATGCATAGATGTCAGGGATGATCCTCGCTCTGTCTAGCAAAAGGGCGGTCATGTAGAAGCCTTCATAATTAGAATAGGGTTTTGGGGTATGTGCTGTACTGTACTTATGATAAGGAACCCCCAAGATAGCATTGGACCCTGTAGTATTGGTTTCCAAGAACCGGGCCTCGACAATTCGCCCGGAGAGGTCAGGCACAGAGAGCTGGGGAGCTGACCTGAGTGTTCGTTCGAAGCCTTAGGGTTTAGGGTTGAAGGGTTCAGGGGTCTACGGGTTTTGGGGTTTAGAGGTCTAGGGTTTCGGGTTTAGGGTGTAGGGGTCTAGGGTTTAGGGTTTGGGCTTTAGGGTTCAGGGGTTTAGGGTTTAGGGGTTTAGGGGTTTAGGGTAATTTGAAGCCTTACAACAAGCTAGTATCCTGGGGAACAAGAGATTAACCTTTGGGAAAATATTGGGATTATAGTGCTAGGACAACAGCAGGACCGACAAAGGATAAGGCCACAAATGGACAGACATGCATGAAGACATGTTGTGGTATGCTACTATTGAACATGAGGTTTGAGAGGAGCATGGGTCGCCGGGCACAATGCTCCAAAGGTTTGAGCAGCTTTCAGGCCATGACTACATCGTGGCTGGCGTAATTCTCAAGGGGCCGGTGCCTTCGTGTTCTGAAAAACTGTTGTCTTCGCGTTGCTTCTCAGTGGGCAGGTTTGTAACCCGAGGTGTTAGACTGAAAAATCTGAAGATCATCTCAACCCCTTCTCGCCTGAAAGCGGGCGAAGTTAGCTGGTCGTCTTCTTCGGCGAGCTGAAGCCCATTATCATGCCAGCTTGACTCCTGCGTCCTCGACGTCTTTTTGTGCTTCGTGATTCTACGCAGGTGGGCTCCGAACATGCAGTAGCTTCCGCAGGATGTGCTTGAATCGCAGAAGTCCACTGCCATTGGCAGTGGCAGGTCCGACGTCGAACAATCGGCTTTCTGCCATCCAGGACCGCAATGCTTCAATGCACGGGCTGAGGAACCCGAGATGGACCCGAAATCACAGAATAGTGAATACTGGGTTCTTGTTAGGTTACTTATTTTAAGCTACCATGTTCAGGAAACCATAATGTTTCTTATAGATCTCTATATAGATCCCCGTGATGGTAACTTGAGGTAAGTTCCTTCACGAGAGCGCGCAGCATATGTTTACGAGGCCTTCGAATGGGAACCTTGGAACTCCGATCGGCTCCTCGGGACTGGAACAGACCCTAAACTACGGGGTTTAGGGTTTAGGGCTCTTAGGGTTGGGCTTAGGGCTCTTAGGGTTTAGGGCTCAAAGCTCTTAGGGTTTAGGGCTTAGCGCTCTTAGGGTTTAGGGTTTAGGGTTGCAGAGTAGTAGAATGCTTTTTCTTAAATCAACCGCGAGGCCCTAAACCCGAAGCCCCATGGCCGCGAAACTAAATCCTAACCTCAGAAGCTAGCTGGTGCAGAAAGCCTGAAACACCAAACTCTCTGTTAGACGCAAATCGCTAAAAAAAGGTTTCTCTGCTCCCAAGCACCGGGGACGTTGTCCATAACAGGGCTTGGGGTTTTAGGTTCGGCTCTAGGATTTTGGATTGGACCCTTGCGTTTAGGATTCAGGATTCGAGGGTGATGTCATACCGCCGAAACCACATATCCTAAACCGAGAACACCCAAAATCTTACACCCTGCTGGATGGTCTTAGGAGTTTAAGGCTCACTGTTAGCGATTTGGGGAGGGGGCTTAATTACGACTAAAAACTTTCGCCCCGAGGCTGGCACCCGAAACCCTCAACCAAACCCTAAGCCCTGACCCTAAACCCTACACCCTGAACCCTCAACCATCCTCAACCCTAAACCCTAAACCCCAAAAAGTGCAGAAGATGCTGGAAATCCAAGGGCCCTGGCTCCCGCACCGCCAGACTCACGGCTCCAGCCCGCCAGGCCGGGTGAGCTGCAACACGCTTTGGCGGTTTAGGCTTTGGGGGTTTCGGGCTTTGAAGAGGGCTTAGGGGTTCTAGGGTTTTAGGGTTTCGGGGTTTTAGGGTTTAGGGGGTTGAAGAGGGTTTGGGTTTAGGGGTTTTCGGGGTTTA